TACCAAAGAAAAAAGTCGGCGGGGTTACGGTACGACCCTAAACCACGAAATACACGTACACTTTAGACTTTTGCAAAAAAATTTTTTATAATGGTTTCGCGCAACGGTCGTTGAGTTAGCGTGGTTACAGTGCCAGGCAATTACAGTGTAGGTGTGCGTATCTAATTGTAACCTAAATTATGGTAACTCACAACGGAAACAAAGACGATTTTTCTTTTAGCCGCCAATTTAGCTCGACGACTGATAGTTTCCATTAGTTAGCTAATGCAGCCCCCATCGTAAAACCGAACGCGTAAAGGCCATAAAGAGTGACGCAACTGCTTACCCGAATTGTTATGGCGACAATTAAGTGCGAAACTTCGCCCCGTGCTTTATCACCTGTAGAAGTGCACAGAGGGTCCGGTACATTTAGCGAGTTTCGTTTATCACCGATGTATTTTGTTATACACACATTCCTTCACATTTACATTTTAATTTTCATTAAAGTATTTCGTGAGGCCTTCTAACATGTTTTTAAATATAACTACGGTTGTAGTTGAAGAGTTTGTACATTAACATGAACCGAAGCTGTTGCCTGGCAACTCAATCGCACAGCGTCACGTCCGTTAATTCCACATCCACACGCATGGATTATCATCGATTTAATACATTAATGTAGCCTTTGATTCTGCTAAAAGAGGTGTCGACCAGCTGGGGAAACAAGAAAATTGGCGTAATCGAGTGTGACTATTAAAAAATAAATCATTATTATATTAATATTTACAATAACAACCGACCGTCGGGGTAGCATTTGCTTGGCATTTCCGGTTATTTCTCCACTGGTTAACATGGGTTAACAATACTGTGTAACTGTCACGTTTTAAGGGACGAAATCGTGACATCTTCACGTCTCCCAGCATGGTAAATCGTCACATGTTCACGTCTTGCCGTGATATCGGGTTGATTCAAAGGCAGTGAGCAACGGACTTTCAAAAACAATAATATTAATAATAATAAAAATAAAATGCGAGACAACAAGGTGTTAACTTGCCCAGCCCTAATATATATGTATGTGATTATATATATTTATATGTGATATATGTAATTCACCTTTGGCTGTGACCACTCCAAAGAAAGAAAGACATTTGAATTTCCAAACATCTTGTGCGGATGTTTTCTTGATGACACTGCATGCCCTGTCAGTCCTGAAACGTTGTAAAATGTGCACATACATGCGAGTGTAGAAAACACACACACACACACACACACACACACACACACACACACACACACACACACACACACACACACACACACACACACACACACACACACACACACACACACACACAGGATTATTTTGCTTCTACAATACCACACATTCCCTCTCACTCGCTCTTCTCATTCCACTAATGAAAACAGATGAAAACTCCACAGCCCAATAACGCAAACATTAACACTAATTCCCGCTCATAGAGACAAACAATCTCCGAGACACGAGTAAATACGGCTGAGCTTCCGGTAGTGGAGGACTGAGGGAAAGAAAGAACGCGCCCTCTGGGAAATTTTCTCTGATCAAGTGCAAAGAGATTAACCAGTTGGACTAGTGCTAATGAACATGAGATCCTAATGAAAGGAGCTCGTAAATGCAGATGAGGCATATGAAACAGAACAATGGTTGGCTTGTATCAGATGGAAACACAAGAGAAATGTACAGAAAGCAATCATTTTACCGTCCTTTTTTCTCAACCTGACGTCAAAATCCTGACAAGTTTTAACAATGGGCAGCAGAACATGTAATGTTTCATTACAACATTACGGTAATATGTGCAATTTTGGAGAAAAGAGCAAGCCTTTGAGTCGACTCGGGGAACATTTTGTACTCTCAGCTGGAACCTGGTTAGAAGCTAGTACACTGTGTGCAACAGCCTCTTTCATAAAAGAAAAACATCAACTTATAGACGACACCGTAAATCACACACAGACAAATGGAGCAAAGGGCACAAAAGCACATCAAACACAATCACGTGTTGCGGCCGAGTAATCTAAGAGAGGCTAGAGCCAGACGTGACTTACTGATTACATAGTCCCCAAATGGATCCTCATCCTCCTCATCATCATCTAGGTAAGCTGAAGGAGGGGAGATTGAGAAAAAAGAAAGAAAAAAGCGGGAGAAAAACAAACATAAATACAAAATCAAGAGAGAAAGTATGAGTAAAACTGGAAAAGAAAAGCACAATCAAACGGAAAACAAATACAAAGTAGATGTGATGTATGGTTAAAGACACACGGAAATAAAGTGAATCCGGCCTCCTGACTTCCCATCATGCACATTTTTACCTCATTCTTTCCCTCAATCTGATACCCCGGCCTTCATTAGGAAGCAAAACGCTGACCATTAAACTACAAAAGTAGTTTCAGCTGTATGCAGAGGAAAATATGATCACTCATAATTGGCTGGAGAATTCTCAATTTGCTCTCAGTGCTCCTTCTCTCCCTCCCTCTCTCCCTTTCGCCTCTCTTTCTCTGGCAGGTCTGAAGACAGCATGAGAGGCCATTACGGCTAACTAAATTCCCTATTAGGGCGGCAGAATGGTCGTCAGCAAGTTACAAATCCGACGCCAATGATATTCCAAACTCTCCGGCTCCTCTCATCTACCTGATAATAACACCGTTAGTATAGGGCCTTCACTGCGGATGCAACGGCTGCCTTCTTACACTGAGAACGCACAAAAACATATTTTTTCCAAAGCCCTCGTTGTCATTTTTATGTGAAAATCCCCCTCTTCATCTCTCCCTTTGTGCTTATTCACTGTTTGTGTTTCCCTCTTCTTCTTCTTCTTCTTCTCTTCTCTCCATCACTCCAGGCTCCCTCCCTTTAATGTGAGTTAGCATCCATCTACTGTGATCAATATCCCAGGCTTTTATTAAACACTGCTCTTATGCATCTCTGTTTGTGTGTGTGTGTGTGTTTGTGTGTGTGTGTGTGTGTGTGTGTGTGTGTGTGTGTGTGTGTGTGTGTGTGTGTGTGTGTGTGTGTGTGTGTGTGTGTGTGTGTGTGTGCAGACATCTTCCTGTGTGTGTCTGTCTGTTTGTGTGTCCATTCGGTCCAACAATGTCTTTATTTAGTCCGCAATGAGGGGTTCATGTTTTGTTTCATTGGCAAGTGTGTGAAAATGTATGTTGAAACACCAATCTTTATTGATCTTGTCTGTGGGCATTTTTCAAACAATGGGCCTAACCCAAAGACGGACACTAGAAGTGTGTGTAAGCGTGTGTTGCAATTTTGCTCCATCCTGAGTGCATAGCTTTCACTGCATGGACAAAAAGTCCTTGAACCAGTGGGTGAAGCATGCAGCCACGCACACACACATTTACTCGCACTCACAGTGGCGTGTGTTTGTGAAAGCGAGCTGTCAGTGCTGCTCTCACACACCATTCATCACAAGCTACTAATTCTGTTAGACCATTGTCGAGCCTTTCGCACCCCACGTTGCTCTCTGAAAACTCAATCAGAGGCTAATGCCCCCAACCCTGCTAACACACACGCGCACACAAGTTCTCACTCTCAGTTTCTTACTCACACACACACTCTCAGAGACCCTGAGGGGACAGCAGTGGTCTTGGGGGACCCCACCAGTCCAACTCTATAAGTGTTGCTTGAATTTGATCGACAGAAGCTGCATTGGCCGAGTTACCAGCACTGAGAGTGGCAGAAAAAAAAGCTCTTACAATCACTGCGTGACATATAATTATAGTATTCACAAAAGTATAGAGCTTTTTATTCACAATTCAAAATGATCATGATTAAACATTATCTTAATTTACCTTGATTGCAAGACAGTCCTCTGCGTGCTCGAAAAACTCCCTAAAGTAGCAACACCTCGGCTGACTTGGTTGATTCGCTTTTGATTTATGGTGGGATTGGTTTGGTACATTAAAATAGAATAAAGAGGACAGCGCGGGTGCAGGCACTCTGCCACCTGTGCTAGCAGATTTGATTAGTTAATCAGGAATCACTTTGCCCAATGCGGCTTTTATAAAACATAATTACATCTCCAGCAACCCAAAAAGAAAAACACAAAAATTGTGACTGCAGATGTTTTAAGTGGCGTTTAAAAGTTTTCCAGCTTTGTCAAAAAAAAAAATCCAATTAGCATAAAGTTTAATCAACATAAACCAGCTTCTAACGGTGCGGAAAACCCTCCAATAAAGAAGTGATGGAAACCAGGCAATTGAGCATGCCTGGACTGGCGGCAGGGTTAGGCAGAAAGGCCAGACTAAATTTAGCGCCACCTTTTCATTCTCTAATTAGGAGATTAATACATCCTGTCACACGCGTCACAATACGAGCCTATGATTTATTATCCAGTCGACCAGATGGAGAGATTGAGCGGGAGGAGGAAGACGGAGAGGGATATCGCAGCTAATCAGAATGCATGTGTGACTGGGCGTGGCCTGGGCTGTGGAGGGAGCGGCCAGTGTCCGCGTTCATAAAGTCGGCCGTATGAAGGAGATTTATTGACGGGGAAACAATGTTGAAGTTGAATTAGATTCTGCCTGTTTCCTTAACAGACAGCTCTCTTTATGAGACACAGAGGCATATGGGGCCACACACACATAAGCATGTGTAAAGCACTGGACTATGGATTGTGGCCATAAAGCCTGCACCGGGCTTCAGGTTTAAATCAATGTCAAAGCCTGATCTTATTTCATCTAATGCATGTTTTAATCATTCTCCCTCCTGATCAATGCAGTTTGGATGCAGTCATCACGCACTGCTGTGAGAATTTACAAGCGCTCCTATTCTCCCGCCCGTGTTTCCAGACGGACGTTTTACGAGGCGGTGCACAGTGTGACAGTAAATCTCTTCCTCCACTTTGCCAAAATGAAATCTCTCAATGCCGCTCTCTATGCCCATATTTGTTTGTCTCACTGTGCTGCTTGCGCAGACGAAACTTGGATTGGCTGTGCCAAGTCAACGTTCTACTCTCTTTATTTTAATAGTGTCTGGAAGGGGCAATAAAAGGAAAGTGTCTTTATTCAATACTTGACAATAAAGCTGGATGTAGGGAAAAAAATCCCTGAGTTGCATTTAGGAAACTCGTTTAACGGGTTTTACATACTTGTAGGTAATTGGAATTCAGCAGTAAATGAAAAAACAAATGAAAAATAATTACAGAGTTTTAGTTTAGAAACTGATTTAACAGGTGCCAGAGGGCTTCCCGGGAAGACAGCTACACATTTGAAACACATTGCTAGATAAGTAACTTCACATTTTAGTCAGGTGCCAACGTATGTCTGTTGTTCTCTGAGTGTTTTAAAAGTCATAATGTGTGTTTGCAGGCATGTCTATGCGCCTTTCATTTTTAATCACTGGAATAATACTGTAATAAGATTTTCATATTGTATTAGCATTCAGTTACAAAACGTGCCTTTCCTAATTTAGGAAAATGCAGGTTGAAACTATATTTATCTCCCTCTGTCCATTGCAAGCTCACAAACATACATAATAGCCTGGTCCTGTATGTAATGTATCAATGAAGAACAATAACTTAAAACACAGCAATATTCAAAGTTCTCTTTACCAGTCTTGTGATCTGTCTACATTACATTAGGTGCGTATAGTGCTAATTGTGTTGAGACTAGCGAAGGCACCAGACTCTGTAACTGACGACTGCTATCTATCCAAAGGTTAACACTCTTTAATTTGTTATCGACTCAGGTTGTTAGTTTTTTCAGGCTTTTCAAGTACTGCAAAAACAAACACTTTAAAATAGAACGTGTGCTTAGGCAACCTGAAATATGAGAAATTAAATCTTTCTAATTTGTAGCTCAACTTCAACTTCATTTGTAGTTCATTAATTATTTTTAATTAAATGTAAGGGAAGGAAAAGGAATGAGGAAATGTACCGAGCAATTACTCTACAGCCAGTTGCCCTGTTGACACAAAAACAAGCTCTCAAATAATACTTTCCCTGAGGTTTTGGATAGCTGTCACCGTGTCTCAGGGCTTTCTATTTTGGTAATGCAATCTGCAATAGGGCACTCTGCACCTTTATTCTCGTGTATGCTCCTGCCCTGAAGGGGAACCCTAGACCCACAAACTGACACCTGTCAGTCACGCCGGCGAGATGCACTGACAGAAGCATAACGAGAGACGTTGAGAGGCGCAGCGTGATCCAAGAGAAGACAGAAGAAGGAGTTTGAAAGATGAAGACGAAAAGGCGGGAGAGGAGGGAGATGAAGAAGAGGAGGTGGAGGAGGAGGAGAAGCAAGGTGAGACTTCAGAAGCTTGTTAGAGACGCGGTGAGATGAGAGTGCTGCTATTTGGTGTTTTAGCACGTCACAGTCTTTTTGATTTGTTAGCATGTGTTTATGATGTTGTTTCTCTTTCTGCCTCTGTCAATCTCTATTATTAGACTCTCAGATCCTCTTCCTGCTGTTTTGACACTCCCGTTGCTCCTATTTCACACTTGCACACACACACGTACAGGGTTTAGGCTCACTCTCACACCCGTGGAGAGACAGAGTAGCATATAGAAAGACAATGATAGACTCTGTAACAAACATATACGCGCCTTTGCAAATGCAGCCGCCGCACTGCTCGGGGCACTCGGCTGGTTAGGTCTGGTGGGAGTGAAATCTTCCTGGCTTCAGGGTGCTTTGAGGTATGACGTGCCTGCAGTATCAGATGTTCTTTTTTGCCGGAGCGAAGGGTGACATTTCCTCATTCAGAGCAACTAAATAACTAACAAATTGACTTGATCAGACACACACACACACCTGGTGCTTTTATCCGGCTGACGTGCTGCCTCAGATCTCTTCACGCTGGCAGAGACAGCGATACAGACGCCTGATCTAAATCTCCGGTCTGTGAAGACGAGTATGAGACGGTATGAGACGAGCCCAAAAATGCCCGTGGTTCCCTCTGAAGGCCTCGATAGAGAAGGTAAACTTTTGAAGTGTGGCATTCCATTGAATTGACTTTGATTTGACACGTTCTGCAATATGAATCAACACACAAGTAGATGTTTAGATCCTGTCGGAGCACAGGCGTATACATGATGAAATATCTTTGAAAAAGTGTCCTTTTTGGGAAAAACGTTTGATCTTCCCAACAATCAACCCTCGGTGACATACTGCAGGCAAACGATAATCGCAATATAGCACAGGATTAAGAAGCTAATTTCGTAAGGTCTGGAATTGCTGGCAAAGGAGCGCTCAATGGCGTTCTGCTGGCCCTGAGACAGAGAGAGCGAGAGCGGTGTCTTAGGCTGATATCTGCGGTTTCCAGATTAGCTTGGTAATTAACCACAAAGCAATTATCGGATGGTGGGATGAGAGGCGCGTCTCGGGGAAGGTGTTCCTTGATGTGTTTAATAGGTGTTGAGTATTTTGATCAGTCCACAGAAGTTGTTTCTGATTCCGAGGCCAATGGAGGTTGATCTACGGCTGATATGTGTTTCTGTCGAGAATTCAATTAATTAGACTGTTTCTTTTCCTTCCATCTAACCCTCACACATTAACCCATTCACCTCCATAGACACCTTGGCGAAGACCTGCGCAGGTTTAACACTGCGTTGGGATTAGCACGGAAATGGGGAAAGCTGCCAGTAAACAAAGTTGCCAGAGGAAGAAGTTTCCCCCTGGGGACATCCGATCTCACACTCACTTTGAGATTCAAAGACATCTTCTCTTTGACTGCATCTCTTATCTTGTGTTGGATCACAAAAGAATCCAAAATAATCTAAAAGATTTGAATTGACAGATCAGTTGCGAGATCTCGGGAGATAAGTGGGAGAAGATGGTAGAGTTAAAGGGCTTTGTCTAAGTGTTATTGATGAAAATAAGGATGGGTCTCTGGAGGGGGGGGGGGGGTCCAACAACTGTTCTTCAGATCAGAAACAGACTCAATCAATAAATCCAACTCGCTCACAATTTATATAAAGGTTGTCTGCTTTAGAGGTGGTCTGAAGATTTCGACAATATCGAAAAACCTTTAGGATCTCTTTAGAAATGGACAATCATTCTCAATCAGTCCATCCTCTCCCTGATTTGTTGTCAGTTTGTTGAGTCTAACACCCTCCCTTTTCCTCAAACCAATGGGCTTGTCATTTAACACATCTTTCAAGAGTCCTACCTGACTCGTCGTCAGACTTGTTGTCATTCTCAGAGTCTGTGAGGGTGAGCGCAGAGTTCTCGCGACTGGACACTCCCGAGCTGCGACGGGACTTAACCCGTCCTTGTCCGGCCCACAGCTGGATGGCTCGCTCTGGAGACAGCGGCCCCTCGGGGTCCGAGTCAGCATCAGAGCCAGCGCTCAGCGAGTACCCCCTCTGGAGGAGGGCCAGGTCAGGACAGTAGGGAACGGCGTTGGGGTGCGGAGGGGGAGTCGGCTCGCAGACCCCAAGCTCAGCCAGGGTGAAGTTCCCCCCTGCGAGGGAGAAAGCGGAGTTACATTGGGCGGGTGTGGGGATTGATATAAGTCAAAGGGAGTAAATGGAGACAAACAAACACTCATAAGCGTGTCTCTAGCAAACAAACCCACAATCACACGCAGAGAAGCAAACTAATTATGAAACTACGGAGGCGGAGGCTGAAAATTGGTCTTTGTTGTGCCAGCCAGGAGGGGGAGAGATGACGCAGCGTGAATCAGGCACAAACTACAAACTAGCTACTGGAAGGAATATGTAGCGGCCTGCAGGCCTGTTAAAGCTGGCTTAGAGGACCTGCCTGCCTCACTTTACTGCTCCGCATTGGCATTCATGAGGTGTTGATGTGAGATCAAAGAGCTGTTCACTTGAGGCCTCTCAGACTGTAGTGGAGCTGCTTTGCTGCCTTTTGGGTTTGATCATCTCCCCACCTAGCTGCCATCACACGCCGGACCCTGGGCTCTGGATATACTGCAGTCTGCTGCAATACCGGCCCCGCTGCCTAACACTCTCCCCCTCAAGACAAACTCACTCGTCACTTCCAAAATAAATATATAAAATTATCCAAATTAAAGCACATCAAAGGAGATCAATAAACAGTGCTGCAGCCCAATTAAATCCAAGCTGAGGAAAAAGCAATTAAGGAAAAAGGCATGCTCAACCAATTTATTCTCTATACTAATTAAAAGAGTATTGTGGATGCAATCGCTCACCATCAGCTGTTGGGGTAAAGGGATCGGGGGGGAAAACAGTTGTGATTCACTTCATTAGTGGTTTGCGAGGGAGGGGAAAGGAAGAGGCGAGCGAGGAGAGGATAGCATTGTGACTGCACACTGCGCTGGGAATCACACAGCTGTGTGACTGGGTTAACTGTGACTCATCAGGCGTACGGACGCAATCAGACTGAGAGGAATTAAACAGATGAAAATCGTCTCCTGGATCTTCACTGCTCCTCTTCACGGCCTCTTTTGGAAAACTCCAGAGTTGCTGAAAGTAATGAGGAGAGAGAGAGAGAGAGAGAGAGGGCCTAAAAGGAAACGGGGGAGTGTTGACAGGCTCTATACTTCTACTCAGACAAACAGATGGACAGGACTAGAAAGCCAATAACTCCACAGGTGGATTCAGCTTCTACGGGCTACAGCTCGCCAAGCATCAAACAAGCTATGGAGGCCCAGAGCACCGCGAGACATGAGGGAATATTACCCCTCCTCTTCTTCTGTGCTTCTTTGTCTTTTCCTCCCACTTATCATAAAAGATCACAAAAGGAAGTTTCTTTACTTTACAGTCAGGGGAATTTTACAACGAGTTAGAAATGTACACCACACTACTACTGTATATGGACAGGATCTAACGCTAGTGATGAACCCATACCTGAGATGAAGTATCGTAGGAGGACGGGAGAGAACTCCAGGAGGCCTGAGAGAGCAGAGCACATGGCTTCTTTAACATCAGCGAGGAAATCAAGCTTTAAAAAGAACTGCTCGCTAGAAAAGAGTCTACTCCACAAATGATGTTTTATGCAAATCATCCCATTCAACTAGAGCGACAATAACGGGAACACAAACACATCTTCTAATCTAAACAAACACTACATGGAAGCAACATCAAAGTGTGCGTTAGTGAATGTGCGTGTGCGTGTGCGTGTGTGTGTGTGTGTGTGCTTGCCACAAATGTCTAATGTTACGTCCCAAAGGCGACCACTCCGTACAATTAACCTGCCATAACCAGTGATTCCATATGCAAAATCCAATCACTCCTTATCACCCTGAGCAGTACAGACACAGCCTTATGCCAGAGCAATCTACTCAAGAAAGATGGATTAGGGTGCTGGGTTTAAGAAGACATAAAAATCTATCTCAGTTATTCCACACATAGAAAACCAATCGCATATTTGTTATATGATAGTATGACAGATGTGGGGGCAAAATATGGGGCTTCATTCTAATCAGATCAATGCCTTTCTGTTGATACACCACCGCTGCCATTCTTAAGCTTGCACTGCGCATTAATGTGTGTGTTGAGCCCTGAGCGGCTTCCACAGCTGCTTCCAGCTGAGCGCATCTGCGTCTGTTCATTGTGTACATTCTGACATGTACGTTTGACATGTACTAATAGAGTAGAAGACATAATGTTTAAGATGGAGAGGACCAAAACAGATGTGAAAAGAAAGATGCGATAAGGCGTTTCAGGGTACGTGGAATCAAATACAAGATGAACAAGAAAGGCCTCAATCAGTGCTGTTTGTGATTAATCTAATTCAATTGAAATGGGGCATGGCTTTACGAGATAGGAAGATGTGTGTAGATCTGCGTTAGACTTCTATGGAGACATACAGTAGCAGCATGATAGGGGAAGCTTCCTTGAACCGGAGTGAATGGCAGCAAAGGCAGAAAAAACGCATGAAAGGCGAGTATGTGAGGGAAAGAGAGCAAAGGGTATGTTTGCTGTAAGTAACTACAGGATAAAAAGTAAGGCTATTTTCCAGCCTGCATGAAAACAGAATATATGAGGTGAACCATATAGAACTCAATCAGTGTATCCTTAATAACATTTTAATGACTACCAATGAAATGAAATACCTGAACAGAAACAGAACTAGCAAATGACTTGAAACCAATGAGTTTAAGACTGTCACCTCACAAGCCCTCCACATGAAACAACAACATACAACTTTCGTCTGTGCCCTTGAGATTGACAAATAGGAAAAAAAAGAATTGTCTGTACCCTCTTTAACTGTAACAGATAGGTGCTAGAAAGAATTACATGCTATGATAATACAACGCTATGGTTAGGTTTTGTTCGCTTAAGCCACAAAAATCATAGTTTAGGTTTTACTACAGTACTACAGATTACCATTACTCCAGCACTTTACTAAATTTAGGTTAGATTCTTTGTCATGGATACACAAATAAAACACTTGGTCTTTGACGCGGACCGTCGTAGGCAACGCACGTTACCTTCGGTTAAGTAGGAACGGGTTTCCTGTGTTGAAGTCCTACATTTTGCAAACCAGATGGACTCAATACAAATCTGTCTTCTTTTTCAGCATATTGGATACTTTCTTAAATGGTTTTACTGGCCAATAGTTTTTAAAGATATGGTCATTTTGCTGACTTTTCAACAGTTTCACCTGACTTCCTGCTTTGCCACTTTGACGTAAACATTGCTGCAATACTGTTTTTCTCCAATGAGCATAAAACAATAGAAACTATGAGGCCCAAACAATGCGACTATAGCTTCCTGCCCCTGCTATGCATCATCATTTGGAGTTTTCATGCGATGCACGTTGTTTCTCTGAGAAGTGACACAGGGGAAAAGGAAGCATCTTGTTGGAACTCCAACACAATAGTGCGGGTGGGATTGGCATTTGCAGTGATCCATTAAACCACATGTACTTCCCTTGATAAAACTCATTACGGATGTGTGTGGGAGAGATTGTGTACAACGTTGCCGGTTGTGTGTGTACGAGCTCTAGTGTTTGTGAGTAGACAGCTTTGTGGGATAGAGGGGCCTATCATTAAAAAATCATTTGTGCTTGTTAGCGGTTTGACAGGCAAAGTATAGGCAGCAGGACTTTGCATTATGCTGGTTGACTTTCCCTCACCCCACTGAGTAATTCTGTATGGGACATAAAACAGGCGGAACGTGTGGGCTTCAACGGCAGCAATTACGTGGCTTTTTCCATATCCAATAGTTTACACTGCAGGCCACCCTCGGACATGCCATTTTGATCTTTGGAGCGAGCGGCAGTACTGAACAATTTCTGATTCGCCCTGAAGTGCTGAACTAGTGAACTGATTTGCTCCTGGGTGGAGGATGCATCACAATCAGGAAGGAAACGCAACTGTGCACGGCAGGCTAACAATCCCAGGGAAAGGCTGAAATTACTGTTAATAATAGCAAAAAGCCTTATTTTCTTTGCCACAGCGAAGAACATGCTAAAAAGGTTGGCTAATAGTAGTAAAAAAAAATGTAATTTTTAACATTTTCCATTTTCATTTGCATCCAATTCAGAACTCATCTGCACTGCACTTTAGTATCAAGAAAAAAAAAAGAATTTCTCTTTTGTGTTTTCTTTTCTGTGAATTACCATGGCAATAAAATACACATATATATTCTTTCCTAATAATGGAGGGCCTAAGTGAAGACTTGTTTCAACAGATGTAGGAGAAAGAGAGAGACAGGTGAGGTGGCAAATGATTGACATGACAGAGTAGAGACAATATGGTAGTTTTTGATGATCTATTGAAATAAATTATGAACAGACACTGAGATGTTTGTGAGGGTCATTTTACTAGTTCAAAAGAAAAATGGCGATTATTTTTTATGTTGACAGCAAATATCAGTGCCATGATGTGTGTCACACTCAATAATCTGATATATCTGTTTTTCTGACATTCTCCACTACTTATTTGGTCCTTGCTGCAAAACCTCACCACAGAGCATTATTTCTACAACAGTCCTATTCAACACTTGTTTGCTGATACAAATGGAAATGTCTACTCAGGTTATTTTCTTATAGACCCAATTTTAAGGGCGGTGAAATGTTCCTGCTCTCAAATCCCACCTGAAACATGTCTTGACTGTCCATAATCTGTCACTGTCTCTCAACCTAGAAGCTAAGCACAAGACAAAATGCATTTTAGGAAGTCATCATTGTGTTGCTCAGTGGGCTACTAAACATATAGGAAAGAGAACAAGAGCTGTGTTGTAAAAGTGAAGACTACAGGGAATACAACTGTTTTTTAAATTAGCTCCACTCATTTATTGACCTAACTATTGCAAAACTATTTCCTAGCTGCCTTCACACACAGGCATAGTGGAACAGACTCTCAAAATCGAAATCTACCAAAATATTTCAATTTGTACCACTGTTTATTTAATTTAGGTAATGTATTTGACTCAAATTGCTTTCTAGTTGTTTCCACAACTCGTTACCACATGTAGATTTCCCAGTTGGGAACGATTACGTGTGATATGCCTCATCGTATCTTGCGGAAATACAACAATTAAATTACATACGTCGTTTAAAGGACATGTACTTAAAGAGATCTGAGTACAGATGGCCCTCCTCTCAGTCATCACACACACACACACACACACACACACACACACACACACACACACACACACACACACACACACATTTGCAGTCTCACATTTAGGGCTATATGTATATACACAACACACACACACACACACACACACACACACAGCACACCAACACACACACACACAGCACACACACACAGCACACACAAACACACACACACACCACACACACACACACAGCACACACACACACACACACACACTTTTCCCTGTCCATCGCAGGACCACTATTTATTCCTCGATAGAAACATTGCCTAGCCTCTGACCATGTTTAGTGTAAATCATCCTCTTCCAAAGTTTTTTTAAGAGAAGTAAAAAAACACACATATATACACATATCAATATAACATATATATTTATAGAGAGAAACACGATCAGAAGAGAGAAACATATAAATATAGAACACATTCAATAAGTCTGCAGATAGCATAACAGAGAGAGAGAGAGGAGAGAGAGAGAGAGAGAGACATAATATAATATATGACAATAGAACATAAAAGATAGACAAGAATAGAGGGCAACACATTACACAACAGATATAGATACACACACACAGTGTAACAGATAAATAACATAACTGAAGTTTAATTAAAAAAAAAAGTTAGATAAAAGGGGAAAAAATAGGGTGTGTACAATAGGCGAGTGAGGGCAGGCCGGCAACAAAAAAAAGGGAGATTATAAAATGGTATAAAGTCCTGATCCATCTTAATATAGAAACCGTCTGAAATGGGCTGATCAGATTTTGGCCACTTTATGAGGTCATAAGGTTTTTTTGGCTTGTGTAATCATTAGCCAATCACCAACCAAGGTAACACCCCCACCTTATCACCTGCATCTCCTCCTAGAGCACCATTGTGTTCTTTCTAACCAAATATCTCTCAGAGGGGCGTGGGGAGTGGCTCCTTATTTTCATCTAAAGTAACAGACAGAGAATCAGCACTTTGGAAACAGGGCAGAAACAGAGGGGTTTATGGGATGCTGTTATGATCTGTTTGGTGTTTGGAGCCAAACACTTCAGAGACATATTTTGTATATATCTGAGACTTATAATATATTGATGAAAAAACGTATAATAGTCGGGCTTGTACCTACAAATGATAAGCCATCATACAGGATCTTATAAAAGCTCTGAGTCCTTTGACCATGACTTTAATGCAGTCTGTACAAAGGTCAAGATCCAAGGTCACTGCCAGCTGTGAGAGTGAGAATGGAGTTTACGTGATTGTTGTGCAGCTGTAATTACACACTCTCTTATTACTTTCACACATACACAAACACACTGTTCGGCGGCGGCGGAGAATACCAATAAACATCTTCACAACT